TCACAGGCAGCATTTTGATCTTGGCAGGCCATCCGTCTCCTAGTGATGACGTCCACTAGCCTACAGAAGGAAATCGTGGACAGCGGCAGGGTGAGCTGGGCGGGCCCCAGCTGACGCCCCCCTGGCTGGGCCCCACAGCTGCACCAGCAAGGGATAGGTCCCTGGAAGGGGAATGACCCCAGAGCCCCCGCCCTTTCATGCTTGAGACTCCTGAAGTATGCAGACAATGAGACCATGTGCCCCCTTTGGGTCCCTGATGTCCCAGCTGAAACCCCCGCCCCAGGGAGGTGTCAGAATGTGCCCTGTGGCTGTGCAGAGGGGAGGTAGGGCCCCTAGGGACCCATTCCCACCTATGATGTCCACCTTGACTGGCCCCTTCCACCCTGTCCTCTCATTGCCACTAGGGGGCAGCCACACAGCAGGAATTTTACGCCAAGAATTCTCGGTGGACTGAAGGTCTCATCTCAGCCTCCAAGGCCGTGGGCTGGGGAGCCACACAGCTGGTGTATGTCATCCCGGTGGGGTGGGCAGGGTCTGGTTCCTGCGATGGAGAGTGGCTTGGGGGGTCAGCAGGGCTCTAAGGGCCTCGGGTGGGAGTGTGGGGGTGAGGCCCACCCCCAGGCCCTGACCAGCCCTGCCCCTCAGGGAGTCTGCTGACAAGGTGGTGCTTCACAAGGGCAAGTACGAGGAGCTCATCGTCTGCTCCCACGAGATCGCAGCCAGTACAGCCCAGCTGGTGGCCGCCTCCAAGGTGAGCTGCACCCATGTCCACAACCTCAGGTTCCATGCTGGGCCTGGCCTTGGGTCCTCAAGTGCCCAGGGCTGAGAGCCCATGGCCTGCCTGGCCTTCCCCCCAGGTCAAGGCCAACAAACATAGCCCCCACCTGAGCCGCCTGCAGGAGTGCTCCCGCACCGTCAACGAGAGGGCTGCCAACGTGGTGGCCTCCACCAAGTCAGGCCAGGAGCAGATTGAGGACAGGGGTAAGCACCTGGGTGTCGGGTGGAGCTGCTGGCTTCCCAGAGCTGGGCAGGAGTGGGCACCTGGACACTTTCTTTTGCCTCTTGGCCAGACACCATGGATTTCTCTGGCATGTCCCTCATCAAGCTGAAGAAGCAGGAGATGGAGATCCAGGTGGGCACCTGTGGCAGCCAAGCTCATGCCTTCCGGGGCTGATCCTGGGGAGGGCTCCTGGGACTGGCTGGCAGTGCTGACATGTGCCGTGGGGCACAGGTGCGAGTCTTGGAGCTGGAGAAGACGCTGGAGGTGGAGCGAATGCGACTTGGGGAGCTGCGGAAACAGCACTATGTGCTGGCTGGAGTGATGGGGACGCCCAGTGAGGAGGACACCAACCGACCCAGTGCTGCCCCCAGAAGTGGGGCTTCCAAGAAGCCTCCCCTGGCCCAGAAGCCCACTGTAGCCCCCAGACAGGACCACCAGGTGCCTGGAGGAGGCCTGGAGTGGGTGGCTGTCCCAAGTTGGGCCTTGTGCTTCTGGCCTTGTCCACTGAGCCATTTACTCTCATCTCTGCAGCTGGACAAAAAGGATGGTGTCTACTCGGCTCAACTCATGAACTACTAGGCTCCGCTAAGGTCCAGCAGGGCAGCTGGAGGTTGGGCCTAGCCTCACATGGCTGTCCTGAGGGCATCCAGGGGCCTCTGAGAGGCCCCCAAGGGGCCCAGCCCCTGCACCTGGTGCCCAGGCCTCCTGCCTCACCATGCAGATCAGTGTCCCCAAGGCCCTGGCCTTCACTGAGCCTGAAGGGGCGTGGGCCATGTGGGATGGTTCATCTGGATGAAAGTCTACTTATCTGCAATAGGAACTTCGGAGCAGCCAGGACCCAGCAGGCCGAAGCTGCAACTCTGCAGGAAATATATGGAGCGTTTTTAATATTCCAAGTTACAACTTAAGTTCATAGTCAGCACACTGGGAACAGGGCCACGTGTGGGTCTCCCTGCCTTCTGGACTCAGTGTCAGAGGTTGTAGGTAACAGAAAGGTAGGGTCCCTGCTGGCTATCAGGGACAAGGATACAACACCCATGGCCTTCCTGGAGTCTCGAGGTACCCTTGGGCCATGTGGTCTGGGCAGGGCAGGAGGTCTTAAGGTAGCTGAGGGGTGGAGGGTGTCACCCCTTTCTCCCTGGGCCTGGTGCTAGAGTATCATGATGGGAGGCCCCAGGAGAAAGCCAGACTGTGGGAGTGGGCAGATGCTGCAGGCTGTGCCTGTAGGCACCCTGGCCCAGGTGCTGCCTTCCCTCCTGGGGTTTCCAGGTCAACTCTGCAGCTACCATCTCATTTTCTGTTTTCCATTCTCCTGAAGATGGTGAACTCAACTCTGCCAGAAAAGTCCCAGAAATCAGGATCCATGGGCCCACTTCTAGGGGATCAGGAAATCTTGTTGGAGCCTCAGGGAGGGGCAGCCTGAGACTGGGAGCCCCGCCTCTCCTGCTCCCATGGATTTGAATGAGCTTGTGTTCCTTGAGCCAGAGGGATTGGCTAGGGGGTGGGAACCAGGCTGTGGGGGTAGAGCCAGCAGTGGGACTAGATAAGTGCCTGGCCCACCCCAGCCCCTTGGCCATCTACCCTGTGCCCTGGCCACGCCGAACAGAGCCCGGGTCTGGGGAGCCAGGTCCTCCTCTGGTGTTGCTGCTCCCCCATGTTGACGTTCTGTTGCAATAAAACATGCTGACTGTTGTCCCCAGTGCCCCAGTGAGGGGCTACATCTGCCTCTTCATTGTTCCTGGGACATGCATTCCCTCTCCAGGTCCTGGACAGTGAGACTGTGGGTGCACTTGGGACACAGGAATCTCACCAGTGCTGCTGCCAGTTCTACCACAGAGCGGCTCCACTATGATTTACGTGACTCAGACCCTCCTCTAATGCAGGAGGCCAAGTCAGAGGCCATCACCATTCCCAGCCTGGAACCCCTGATCTGGGGCCAGTGGCTAGTCCCCCAGCCTATCTGAGACCATGCATCTTTGGACAAAGGATGGTGGCTGCTGACTGGTTGGGCAAATTCCGGGATCTAGTGTGGGTCAGGACCCTGCCTCTCGGCTGGTCTGCACTCAACCGTCACGGCCACATTGCAGCCCTTCCATTAGCACTTAAGGGCTTCCAGGTTCTAGAAAGCACAGCCAGCCTTGCCAGCACATGATCCCCAGAAGCATGCTCCAGAGGGAAGGCTGAGGGGTGACCAGTGCAAAATCACTAAATCTATTGGACGAAAGGACAGTGTGGTTCAGTGGAGAGTGTAAAACAGGGCTGCTCAGATTCTGGGCCTCCCCCAGGTCCCTGCCCCTGGGCACAGGGCTTACATGCCCAGGCAGGCTGTGTGGGAGGACAAGAAACTGTGTGAAAGCGCTCTACCAATGAATCCCCACAGGACACGGTCATGTGGATGGAGCGTTCCTTTTCCTAATGGCTTAGCCACAGAAATTCCTCCCACCTGTGGTACAGCATCTTGATTGTGAGTCAGGAAGCTCAGAACACTTTTTGTACCAGGGGTTGAACCCAGGGACAGTTAACCACTGAGCCATATCCCCTGCCCTTTAGACAGGGTCCCACTAAGTTGCTTAGGGCCTACCTTGCTAATTGCTAAGGCTGGCTTTGAACTTGCACTCCTGCCTCAGCCTTCCAGCACAGACAGACACTGAGATTAAAGGTGTGTGCCACCTCGCCTGGGCAGAATGCTTTCTAAAAGCCAAGGACAAAAAGCTGACATGGGCTGGGGTTGTGGCTCAGTGGTAGAGCACTTGCCTGGCACACGTGGGGCACTGGGTTCGATTCTCAGCACCACATAGAAATAAGGGTATAGGGTCCACCTACAACTAAAACAATACATAAAAGTGACAGCTAATTTAGTGATCCAAGGAAACGATCTGACGTTAAGTCCTCGATGATCAAATCTTGAACTGAGACCACCTCAAGTGTCCTGCACTAAAAATCAGAAGCCTACCTACCATATGAGATCAGTGGCTGTCCCTCCTAGACCCAAAAAGGGCCAAAGGAGGGAGGAGAGCATCCACAATCCCACTGTGAAGTCACGTCCTCATTGGGGAGGGGTTACAGATTTGACTAAGCTTTCTATCAGCCACTGGGGGAAAAAACTACCAAATTCTTTTCTTCAAAGGCAAACTGATTTCTCAAAAGCTTTCCTCTTCCTAATAGCTTAGCTATAGAAATTCCTCCCACCTGTGGCACAGGATGGTGGGCCCATGAGGACATGGGTACACAGCTCAACCAGGGGCAGTATGCACAGATACACAGCTCAGGGCTGAGGGTGTGGCTCAATAATAAAGCACTTGCCTAGCCTGCACCAGACTGGCGCACCCTCAGAGCCAGGGGTGAGGGGAGTACAGCTTAGCCAGGGGTGGTGACATACAAAGGAACAGGCACACAGCTCAACCAAGCGTGGTGGGCAAGTGAGGGCATGGCATGCAACTCAGGCAGGGGCAGTGAGCACAGGTACACAGCTCAGGCAAGGAAGGAGGGCACTCAAAGATGGACACATAGCTCTGCAAAGGAGGCAAGGAAGCAAGGTCTCTCCTTCCTACCTCAAGGGAAACCACCTCATCCAGCCCTGGTGTGGATGGACCTTCATGTCCCCTTGAAACACCTGCTCGTCAGCACTCAAAGCAAAATGTCAGGGCCACTGAGATCCTACCATTTGACAATCAGAAATGTTTGAAGTAGTCTCCACCACTTGCCATGTGGGCAGAAGCCAGAGGAAGCCCAAACCCCAAGGTCATCCTCAGCAGCCCGCCCTAGCACTGCGGCTGCGATCCTGAAGATACATTTCTTACAGCAGGAACGAGCTTCTTCCCACCCATTATTGCTGTTAGTGCTGGGAACCCCCGATAGAAGAGCCTTCAGCCTCCCATGACTTTGTTTTCAACTCTAAGAACAGCGGCACAGCTGGCATCCCTGCTGGACTCCGGTCACCGATGCTCCAGAATCCAACACTTCACAGGCATTCCCAGGCGAGGAAGTGATAGAACTATCATTCATCATTCTCAATTTATTAAAAAGGGTCCTACATTTTTACAACCAGTAACAGACGAGGCCCCAGACAGCAATGGCAAAGCCAGCCTGGCAGCCCCCTCACAACACCCACACAGAGTTCATGTCTGGCTGGAGCCCACAGCCAAGCTGTGGCCACTCCCAGTGAGGCCAGCAGCAGAGGTATTCAGGGGAGGACGATGGCAGCACTCACCCAAGATTCACAGAACATGGCGAGCCCTCCTGATTGGCATGGCAGTGAATCATCCTACACAGCTCTCTCTCTTTACTGGACAGTTATAATACAGTAGAGTTCAAGTCCAAGAGGAGAGTATGGTAACTGAGGACAAAGGCTGGTGGCCCTGCCTATGGCCCACTGCAACAGGTCAGGCCCTGGCTGCCTAACATAGGTGACAGGGTAAGGGTGGGGCTCTAAGTTCCAATGAGCACACAGGTCTCTGTGAGATGCTATCCCTCCCCAGCTGGGCCCTGGGAATTCTGCAAATGTGGCACCTGTAGACAAGATCCCAGAGAGCAAGGAAGAGATGGTGTATGATGCATATCCCATGGGAGTGGGCTTTCTCCAAATCCCTCCAGTGCCCTTGCCCAGCACCTGCAGCACCACCAGGCCCTGGGCCCACCTGCCTTGAGGCCCAGCTGCCTGCCAGCCAGAAGCAGAGAATACTGGCTGAGAATATCCTGGTTGACAGTGGCCAGACTTTCTTCCCACCTGTCACAAACAAGCCCTTACAGGAATACAGGGCTGCTGGGGCCTGGCCTGGCCCATGGGCCCACAGGGCAGCCATGGCCGGCACCTTGCAGGTGTCTGAGTCCTGGCACCAGGTGAAGCTAAGGCACAGCACGGACACCTGTAGGTGTGACCGTGTACTGTTTTCAGGAAAAGAAATTGCATTTACTTCATTTGCATTTTGATCTATTCAAAACAATATTTGCATTTTAAAAGTTTCCCTGAATATCTTGTTTCAAAAAAGTTCTTTCCCAATATAAAACAGGTAAATTACACATATAGTAAAAATACCAGGGGAGTATTTCTTCACAGAAACCTTCAGGGGCTAGCTCGGGGCAAAAGCGAAGAGCTGGGAACAGCGTGTTGTGCAAAGTCCAGCTCACGCACTCACACCCGGGGCCACTCCACCCCGGGCCTTGGAACAGGAGTGAGCCAAGTACAAGCACTGCCCATGGCTCTGAAGCATGAGAAGCAGCCAGGTTTGTGGGGGAGAAGGGGTGACGGTGATGACAGCCCCAGACAGACTCAGCGGACAGCGCAGCTGTGCCTTGTGGCCAGCCATGGGCATGACCGCTGGGCTGGCTGACACAGACCTGTCTTTTTCCAGGGCCACAGCAGCTAGTGGAGCGAGACACAGCACTGTCTTCTGAAAATAACAGACATAATTAGCCATGCTTATTAAATAGGGCTGCAACATCAGGACCAAGACTTGAAATGGGAGTTGAAGAGAGGCTTTTTCCTTCCCAAATGCACAAGTTCATCAACACTACGGTACTTGAACACCACACCCAGGACGCACAGGCAAGTTGCACAGGCCTGCCGGGCCACGCCCTCGAGTACACACTGCCTGGGTGCACAAAACCTGGGCCTCTACTCCTAAACCACTGGCCTACAGTTCTAAAGCCAGATGGGACACTGGCCCAGGGTTCCCAAGCCCTTGGCCCAACAGTCAGAGCTCAGAGCCTCTGTGTGCAGAACCTGGCAAGGCAGGCAGAGGGCGTCTCCCAGAAGGACAGCTCTAGTGCTCACTGCAGGATGAAGCCTGGCTGGTGAGGAGGCAGCCGGGGCGGGGGTCTCTGGGGGAGAGCTGGAGGGTACGGAGACACGAACTGCGCAGAGAATCCTTGCTGAGGAGGAAGGCCCACCCGAGGGGGCAGGGGTGGGCACTGTAATCCTGGGTACGGAATGGCCTGTCCTGAGCCCATGGCAGCAGTAAATGGGGTGGCTAAACGTCCAGCAGGCACCAGGGGCGGGGGCGGGGGGATGCGCCGAGGCACAACAGAGGGGGGCCCACTGGCCTCCAGGACTGGGTAGGGCAGAGAGGCAGCAGGCACAGGCTCAGGAATCCTGGGCGGCAGTGGGGCCGCGACCTGTGGGAGTCTCTGGCCCTTTAGCACCAGCTCCTGCAGCTTCTCAACCTTCACTCGTCGCATGTGGGCCAATTTCCGCTTGCTCTGGTAGACATCAATGAAGGCATCTAGAGGAAGCTCTCCATCCAGAAACTTCTCTGCCATGTTCTGAAAGAGGCAGAAGAAACTTGGTTACAGGGCAGGCAGGCTGTTAGGAAGAGAGCCCCCTTCGCAGCTCAGGGCTCAGGGAGTACTTCAGTCTCTCCCCTTGGTAATGACTTGAGGTGCCCGTGTGCTGCCACTTGGTCAGCAATGCAGGCTCAGGAGGTGCGCCTTGGTAAGAGCCACTGGGAGGCAAGCTGGTGGTCCTGCCTTGGGCCCCACTTCCCCAAACCACAAGCCCAAACAGGCAGTAGGCCAGGCAGCACCCAACCTTACAATAAAGGGGCAGCACTCCAAGTTGCTGGGTTGCCTGGCACAGAGGGGGCACCACTGCCCTAGTTCAGCTTTTTCTAGCTAAGTCAGCTGAAACCCAAGTCCTCCTGGCTTTCCCCTTGGCTGCACCCTGACAGACCTGCTTGTGTCCATCAGGGTCTCCCCAAAGCCTACTGGTTCATCAGACCAGCACAGACTGACCTGGCCACACACTGCCTGCCCCGACTTGCATGACATTCAGCCCCGATGTTTCCCCATCCCCTGGTATTCACTTGGACATATCCAAAAGGCTGTGTAGCCACCAGCTGACCCACAGCACAGCAGATGGTAGCTGGGTTGCTGGCACCCGTGACATCAGTGCTGGTTCAGTGTGACTGTACACCCTTGCTTGGACCTGTACTTTACTGCCCTGGGGCTCCCCAGGCCCCTCTCTCTGGCACCTGCCTGGACAATGACACCTACTTGTACTACCTCCTCCTGCCCACAGAGGGAGGGCTCACTGTCCTGGAGAAAGCAGACCTGCTGACCTGGGCCTCCGCTAAAGCGCTTGGCCTTACCTCGGTGTCTTCCTCAATCTTGGCCCCTTCTGCTTGAAGAAGCGCTAACAGGGTCTCCAAGGAAGCACTGTTAGACTGTTTATCTGGAAGAAGTAAGAGACATGACAATAAAGGGCATCTCCACCCAGACACCATCCCACTTCCCTGTCAAAAATCTTCACTAGAAGGCAATGGAAGATCTCACCCCTGAGAGCTGACTCCCCAGGAAGCTGAGGCAAAGGCCTAAATCCACCAGAAGAACAGCAGCACAAAACAAGTATCAAGGTGGCCAGCATTATCACACAACAGGACTCCCAATATCACCATCTGTCCCACAGAGTGGGCTGTTTTTGAACATACAATAGAAATACCGTAATCACGTGGCCTTACATTTCCAATTATTAAGTGATAACTGACCAAGCGCACACACACCTGAAGTGTGTGACTCAAATCCTAACGTATGTACAAACCCGACAGACATTTCCTAAGGGATCCCCATGCCCATGCCCAGCCATGTTCTGGACACTGACCTCCACCCCCACAGGCAAGCTCTGCACTGTGTTGGCTTCTCTCACTCAACACTGCATCTGAGATCAAGGTCTTGCACACATCGCTGATCCCGTTCCCTTCAATGATGTGTGGCAGTCCACTGCGTCAACATCACAGTTTACCTATCATTCTGTAGATGGACCTTTAGATTGTTTCCAAATTTAGCTATTATCAATAAAACCACAGGCCCCCCCCCCCTTTTTTAAACTTATCTTCTGAAAGACATAAACATCCACTTGTTAGGTGTCCCCAGGGGCTGGACAGCTAAGTCAGAGTGTGCACAGTAAATCTCAGCAGGTTCTGCCAACGACTTTTCCAAGGTGGCTCTAGCAACCTACGCTCCTAGGCATGAGTTCACAGCCTCACCAGTACCTGGCATCGCCAGTTTCTTCTTTTCTCTACTTGGGGCGGGTGTGTAAGAGTAAATTTTTACCTCTAACAAATAAACACACCAGACACCACTGTAAATCTCACTGAAGAGGATGATTTTTAATGCAATTTCATTTAACTTCAATGTCCCCCCTGAAAGCTCTCAAAAGCACTCTGTGGACTCTCAATGACATTCAATTCCTATGCCTCTTTGTTATGACTGCAAATTAAAGTGTGACATTAAAATAATACATTTTTTATAAATGCCTCTATTTATATGCAGTGCTGAGGATCAAACTCAGTGTGCCACATGCATGCCAGGCAAGCACTCCACTGCTGAACCACAACCCCAGCCCCTAACATGATATTTTCTACCATCAACTTTGAAAGTCAAATATACAGTAAAATGTTCGTTGAATAATTCAGAAAACTGCCTTTTTTCTATGCTATTTGGGGAAGTGGAATCTTGATTGCTAATCCCCAGATCTTTTTGTTTTTTCTTTCAAGACAGGGTCTCAGTGCTGAGGCTGGCCTGAAATTTGCGATCCTTTTGCCTTGGTCTCTGGAATCACTGGCATAAACCATTGCAACAGGCTAGAATCTTCAATCTAAAAAGTAGTAAGTTTCTTCTAAACCGGCAACACAATTTTTATTTTTTGTAGTACTAGGGATTGAAGCCAGGGGTGCAATACCGCTAAGTTATATACCAGCTGCAGTGCACCCCCACCCCCATTTTGTTCCTCTCTCAATTTCTTTTTGAGACAGTGTCTTGCTCAACTGTCCAGACTGGCCTTGAACTTGTAATCCTGCCTCGGCCTCCAGAGACACTGGGGTTACGGGTGCAGATCGGCGCCTGGCCTGGCAACACCATTCCATATACAAACTATTGCTTTGCTGCATCAGAGTCATGTCTTAATCTGATATTTTTCCATAATATTTCTTTCCTAGTGGGAAAACAGCTTGAAATGTATCCTTCCCTCAACTCTTTATTCTCAAAAGATCCCCCTGAAAAAAATTACCTAATTTGGTCTTCTTTATCTGATAGGCTTCAAAGAGAACCTGGAGCTCCTGGTACTTTTGGGTTAGGTGTGCTTTCCGAGTGTCCAGTTGGGGCTGATATAAAAGGTTTCCCTCTGCCAGGCTCCGGTTGCTGGCAAGTGTCATTTCTTTGTTAAGCTGAAGAGTCTGCGTCTATAAGAAACACACAAGATGATGAGAACCACAGCGTATTAATTCATGGAAGGCCCCAGGGTCCCTGTGCCACCCCCACGAGCTTGCTCTTCCTTGCTGGTCCAGGCTGGCACTACATGCTGGGCAGATGCTGCCGGCCCAGACCCAAGTCCCACTAGTCAGAGGGATGTCATGTGGATGCTGCTTCCCATTCTATGGCCAGCTTCCTTTCCAACATGTTTCCAGGATGGGCTTTGTCCTGGGACTCCAAGCAGAGCTTTCACTGCAATGATTCACTGTGACTTGAATTCTTTACTACCCCTGTGCTCACAGAAGTCAACAGCTATAAAGACACAGGGCTGGATTTGTTCAAAACAAATTTCTGCTGCTCGAGAGGAAGAATCACTTTTATCAGAGGGAGACCAGTTTGCATAATGTCAGCGCATGATTCCTAATCAGGCTTAGAGATGAGACAAGCCAGCTGAGATACCTTCAGAAAGAACCAAGTTGACCGCATCCCCCCTCATCGTCTTTCCCATCACCAGCCCTTCCAGGCTTCCCCCATCAGCAAAGCTGACTCCCCAAGGTGGGGAGGACTTATTTTGTCCAACAAGGGCCTCCTGTAGTCCTCTTAAATGATGAGAACAGGCTATCTGGTAGGTAAAGAAGGCCACTTGTACTGCTGCAGTCTGGCTGGGCACAATTCAGGAGCCACTTGTCAAAAGAAACGAACTTTATTTTTAGAACACACACACCCCGCACCACACAGCTCTTCAGGAAAACCCTCAGAGCCCAACTGCCACCACCGGCTTCCCACAAGCCTCTCAACCTCCCCCACTCCTGCTCTTGAGGCCAATTGGCTGGGTCGCATGGGCGGAGCCAAAAAAAGTCCCCCAATGAGCAGCTCCGTGGTCTGAAAGGGCGGGGAAACAACCCAATGAGCATCACCGCAGAGGAGCCAATCAGTTGGCAGCTAGAAGTTTGCTGGGACCCCTTCGGCTGTGGCTCTCAACACTGTACAGACCTCCAGGGTGAGAGGTGCAATGGGAAGTCTGAGGAAAAGGGAAGGTCAAAACTGAGATGGTGTGCTTAAGGAAAAAAAAATCCACATTGTTCTCTTCTATCACTCACGATCTGCTCTTCTACGGCAGCCATCTCGCTTTCTGCATTTGAAGCTTCAAAAACAAACAATTCTTTCCCCAGGTCACATCTGTGTTTCCCTTTAAGGAGCTCTTCTTAGCCACACCCTAGTCATCTCATTTTCCCCTTAATGTTTTCTACCACCCCACCCAGTCTACAGTTCACTACTACTTCCTTCCTTTTGATACTTTTGGATATAGCTTCTTCCACTCCCCCCACCTCCCACCATACCCATTTATTACTCTTGCAAAGTTCCCAGGAGACAGACACATGCAGGCCGGCAGGCAGGCAGATGCACAGACACAGACAGACAGACAGACACACACACACACACACACACACACACAGTATAGGGACTCACCAAACCACCAGAACAAAGGAAGAAGAAGAAAAAAAAGCAATGTCTCAATCAGGAGACCCCTTACCACTGAGCAGAAGGACTCTACTCAGCAGATAATCTGTTTCTCCCAGACAAACTCAAGCTAGGCCCAAAGTCCATGAAAAATTAGCCTAAAACTGAAAGGATTTCAATCACAGAGGAGCTCAATACTATAAAAACTGGGAACACTCTCTCCAAAATTAAAACAGCAGCAACATTCACATCTTGTTCTGCTGCTTTTAGCAAGCAAGGAAGGTCTTGGAGGTGGAAAGACCTACTTTAACCTGGGTTCCTGGGAGGCAGGAGGAGCTCCTGCTCTCAGGCCCCCCCACCTTCCACATCCTCCAGAACACTGTGCTCTTTGCTCTGTGGGCTTTACATACCAAGGTCCTGCAGGCAAGTCTTTCCTTTAATTGTTAAGTCTTTTGAAAGACCAAACAAAACTAAACCATTGTATAGTCACTCTGGAAAACAGCTGGGCATTTTTTTTTATATCTATAAACCAAACACATTAACTACCATATCACCCAGAAATTACTAATCCTGGGAATTCATCCCAGAAAAATGAAAGTTTACGTACAAAAACCTGCACATGAATGCTCTCAAAGGCTTTATAATAGCCTAAATCCTGAAGCAGTTTTTAGGTGTCTTTCACCAGGTGAATGGTTAAATAAACTGTGCCCATACAACCACACCATGGAATAGTACTCAGCAATTTAAAAAAAAAAGAACACACTAATCAAACACAAGACACTGAGAAAAAGCTACAGGGAATTACATGGAGCAACAACATGAAATTAATCCCCAAAGCCCATGTGCTTCATGATTCCATGTACATGGAATTCTTGAAAAACACAATCATGTAAATGGAAAATGGGGCGGGGGAGGGGGAAGGTGAGTGTGATCCTCATGGTAATGGAAATGCTCTATGTGCTGTACCCTGGTGGGATCAGGGTCAATAAATACTCTGGCTGTGAAAATTCAGTGTACTAGAATTTCACCCAATTCTGCCACTGGGGTAAATAAGGCAAAGGAGACACAAGGTCTCAGTATTATTTCTTACAGATGCATTCAGATCTATGATCCTCTCAAGTTAACTATTGCTGATATCTTTCCCTCCCACTGGCCTCACCTCATGGACAGTTAGGACCAGGACATGGGCTCCTGCTCCCAGACCTGCTAGTCTATGTACTTTATTATTCTGATTTCAATCAATTCTTTATTCAATAAATATTAATTGAGCAAATATTACTTGTCAGGCTCTGAGGTAGACACAGAGAATTCAGAGAAGTGGGAACATGCCTGTGTCAACAGAGCTGAACACATCAGCCCGAAAATTGGCAAACAAGTCTCGGGCACTTGGGTCTCCTCTTCCTTCAAGTTCATCCTCTCAGAGACCTCCCTGGTCATCCTATCTACACCAGCAGCCACTCTGTCACAACACTTACTTATTTCATCAGTGAGACTCAAATTTGGTTTCATGCTGTCAGTCTCTCATTTTGGAACATGAGCTGCATGTCTGCTGTCTCTGGCCTGGTGGGTCATCTGGGACACAGCAACCCCACCTCAAAGACCTGCTGAATGAGTTATGAGCCCCACCCCCACCCAAAAAAGCCCAAAGTCATTTGAGGCAAAGTCTAGTTAAAGAAGGTGGATAACAAAACAGAGTAAAATGTAGGGGCTAGGGATGTAGCTCGGTGGTAGAGTGCTTGCCTGACATACAAAAGGCCCTGGGTTCTACTCCCAGTACTGCAAAAAAGAAAAAAAAAAAAACCAAGAAAAAAGAAAAAAACATGAGCTGTGTTTGTTGTTAAGGAATAAGAGCCTCAGATCCATTATGCAACAGATGGGTTCCCCTAATAAGGTCACTTGAGAATGAGGCTTTGTCGGGATGCATGGGGGTTACTCTTAGGGTAATTCCAAAAGCAGAATTTCCCTGAACGCCCTAAGGAAGGGCAGCACAGTAAGTGTAGGTCTCCCAAGGAGACCCCTGGAAAGGCAGCAACACTCAAGCGTTGAATACCAAAATAAATAAATAAATTCCAGGTGATTCCAATATACAGCTAGGCTGAAAAACATGGCTTCAAATTCACTGTAAAATGCATCTTCCAAAAGAAAAAATACATATTTTTCCCGCAGAATATAAATCAAGTTGAAATCACCTGCTCTACACATTAGAAAAGCCCTGTAAGAAAGAAACAGAAACACAGGCTATAAGCAAAAGGCAATTCATTTGAACAGGACACACAAAGACAAAGGCACCAGCCAGCAAGGGGCCAAAGGACTCCAGATGAGGACAACCAAAGACTGCTACATGGGACCTAATTTTTCATACCCTTTGGGGATTCAGACATTTTCATACAGACACATCTGGCACTACACCAGAGCACCCTCGGGGTGGACTACAGCAGCGGGGGCAGGGCTAGGGCAAGGGCCATGTGCTAAGGGCCAGTAGAGCTTTTCCTAAGCCCGGGAATGGTGCAGAACACTCCTGTGATGTTGCCTTAGAGGGAGGAAAAGACTTGCTCCTCAATATTCTTTTCCCTTGTTCCAGTTGAGGAGAATGAGGAACACCCACTTTTGTTCATCTACAAAGCAAAGGCAAGCTGGCCAGGACAAGACCAGCACCCCCAAGAACGCGGATACACACCTCGCAGCAAGGCGCAAGTGGCAGCCTGATTTTCACCCTCTCAGACTAATGCCTCCATGCCTATAACCAAATCTGTACTATCAATCAGCAGAGAGGGCCACTGTATTTCAGGAACCAACAGACTAGAAAATACGGTAACTTGCCTCTCGTCCTCTTCTTCGTGGTAGGTACCAACATACCTGAAACCGAAAAAAGCAGTGCCAACTTGATCTTTCTCATGATTCTTTTTCTTAACCATAAAGAAATCTTTTCAGGAAATAATAATTTCTCTGTGGTAAAGAAACATTTTTATAAATGCATCCAGTTTCACTTCAGTTTCCTTTTTTCTTCTAAAGAAAAATGAGATGCACAATACCAGCACTTATAGTTACGCTCCCTTTGCATGAAGCTCTTTCTGCTGCCTGAAGGGCGTTCACCCAGTTAATACAGAGACCTCAGAATGATAGGATTTTTTTCACTTTTCTCTACTTATAATTATCATAGTTAAAAGTTGAATCATTAAAATAATCATATAATTTTATAAAAAAAAATTCTTACATTAAAAAACCTGTTATAGAATAGACATGATTGCCGTATGTATATAGATGACTCTATGACCAGTGTGATTCTGCAATCTGTAAAATCAGAAAAATGAGAAATTATACCCCAATGATTCAAATGTATGAATTGCCAAGATCATTGTAATGTCATGTGTAGCTAAAAAAAAAAAAAAAAAAAAAAAAACAACCACCTGTTAGGGGGCTGTGGTTGTAGCATGTGTGAGACCCTACGTTCAATCCTCAGCACCACATAAAAATAAATAAGTAAAATAAAGGTATTGTGTCCAACTACAATTAACAAAAAAGAAAACAA